CTCTACTAGACAACGGTACACAGTAACTGAGCAGGTTCGTGATAGCTATTTCAGTGTCTACAATGAATGGCTCAGACGAAAGGTGATAAAAGCTAACCCTTGAGGGAAAATGGTAGCCAGAGAATCCCTGGGCGGAAGAAGGGGTGGGCCTTTAACAGACTTCAAAGGCTGATAAACCCAGTAGGCCAAAAAATTTCCCAAAGTACATTCCACAATGCTTTACGATTCCTATCTCAGAAGAACTGTGGTGTGCATGAGTCCTCACAGAACTGTGACGTGGTGACCCTTGTTCACGACTGTTCCTCTTCCTTCCTCTGCCTGAGCACTTTTATGGACATGGGATCTTAGCCCACACATGTATCTTCTTGTCAATCACTCTGAGGTACTCTTTTATTTCCTGATTAGAAGTTTCACACAATATAGTAAAAGTTCTGTGAAAAAAAAAGGAGCCAATGGAGAAGGACAGAAGTGATAAAGAGCCTGGAATTCTAAAGAGGAAGAGAAGAAGAAGAGGAGGAGGAGAAGGAAGAGAAAAAGGAGAAAACTATTTTAAGTTAGACAATTAGGTTTCTGATTTGTCTAGATTGTGGTTTTCAAATAACTCCTGTAGAGCAATAAAGGCTCATGCTGTGCACCTGCTTTCTTGTACCCTCGGGGCAAAGCTTTAAGGTCCCCCACTAGATTCTCAAAAGAACAGTTTCCAGAATGGCACAAGGTATGCTGTTTCCCACCTAGAAGCATCTTTCAAAGGCTGCACAGGTGCTGAAGGGAAATCAGTATACTGGCACCCAAACCATCAAAAGCCTTTGAAAATGTAACATGAGGAAAGAAGACGGATATTGAAGTGAAGGCCTGAAAGGAGAAGCAGAGACAATTTAAAGCAATAATACTCAGTTGGACAAATGTTTAAAGTTTTAGGAAGCTACTGGTCTTTTTGCCTTCCTCTTTATAAGTCTTCCTCTTTATAAGCCTTGAAAGATACTAAGATAAAATCCAAGGCTGGAGATGGCTCAGCAGTTAAGAGCACTGGCTGCCCAGCTGCTCTTCCTGGGTAAATTTCCACCACCCACGTGGCAGCCCACAACTGTAACTCCTTTTCCAGGGGACCTGACATCCTCACACAGACTAAATAAATTAGTTTTTAAAAATACAAATACTAAATAAATTTTAAAAAATCCAAGGTAAGAAGAGGAATATCTGGCCAACAAGGTGGCTTGGCAGGTCAAAGCGCTGACTAAGCGCAAATCTGACAAGTTCAGTCCCTGAAACTCTTGTAAAAGTTGGATACAGGAGTGTGCATCTGTAGCCCCAGTGCTTCTGTGGAGAGCTGGGACAGAGGTGGGAGGCTCACCCAGGAGATTGCATGCCAGCCAGCCTGCAGTGTGTAGTTGCAGCAATAAAACCATCAAGAGAGACTTTGTCTCAGCAAGGTGAGAGGCAAGAACCAGCTCTGGAGCGTTGTCCTCTGACATCCACGAGTGTGCCATGGCACTCACTCACATTTGCACTAAGTAAATACATAAAGGTTTTAAAGGAATAGTAAGGTAAGATACTTAATTTGTCCTGTTGCCTGTAGCATCGCGATTTCTGGTCCTTCTGAATTCAGGGAAGAATGTTATGTTAAAAAGCAGGTAGCTTTCGTTCGTTAAAGTAGAGACCCTACAAGGTTTGTCTCTTTACTCAGATGGAGACACTGACATGCTCAGTTTAAGGGAGTTAAGGGCAGATATGGTACAAACAACAGCCTTCTGGTGAACATCAGGAAGTGAAGGAAAACAGAAGAAGCTCGTCAGAGGGGAAATGTCTAATGTCATTTGATTTTAAAGCTGTTTAACAATAATGAAAAATTGTTCATAACTACTGATTTGTTCAAGGAATCATAATAGAGCAGAAATCCTGTATTTCAGACAGCATTCTTTGATTTGCTATTCATGTACCCAGCAACCCCAAGTCCAGCCTTTTGAGCTGTATAAGGACCTCGATGGAGCAGTCAGTCATGGTCATGGCTGATTGTGTCTCAGTCCTCTGCTCTCTGTACCCATGAGGGGTTGCAGGGATAATTACTTTAGAAAGTTAAAGCCCATAGTGAACATCATATGTGGACCCAATAGGAAGCATATAAGAGCCTCTCGTCCTATCCATCCCTCCTTATACTTCTACAGGGCTATGACAGCTGCTGCTTCCTCCTCTTCCTCCTTCTCCTTTTTCTTCTTTTTTTCCCCTTTCACTTTTTTTTTCCTTTGCTAGTTAGGATTCTTTTTGTTAATTTATTTCATTTTATTTTATGTGCATTAGTGTGAAGGTGTCAGATTCCATGGAATTGGTGTTACAGACAGTTGTGACTGCCATGTGGGTGCTGGGAATTGAACCCGGGTTCTTCGGAAGAACATATAGTGCTCTTAACCGCTGAGTCATCTCTCCAGCCCTACCATATGAAGCCCAGAAATTTAAAACTAGACTTAAACTGTTTTAAACATAGAATGAATTGATTGACTCCCACAGCTGGAAAGTCTGGCTCTGGGTCAGGCTTTAGAGCCAGTTGATCTAGGAGCTCTGGCATCATTAAATATTTAGTTTCTTCCCTGCATTCTACCACTCACAGTGTTTATTTAATTGTATCACATCCTACGCTTTCTGATAGGATGGCTGCCAGCTACAGTCAGGGGAACAAACTTCCTCAACTTTGGGGAGGGGTGAAAATGGGACCATTTTTTTCCTCACAGCAGTCCAGATACGTGTTCTGGGGTTAGAGGCAGCCACCTTAAAACAACTTGGACTATGGGAGTTGGATGTACTAGGAAACATTTGCCAAGTAGTTAAAAGAATTTGGGTGAAATTCAGGTTGTATACAAATCATGTAACACTATAAAAAATACTGTAAGAATGGGTGGTGGTGGTGTGTGCCTTTAATCTCAGCACTTGGTAGGCAGAGGCAGGTGGATCTCTGAGTTTGAGGCCATCCTGGTCTACAAAGTGAGTCTAGAACAGTCAAGGCTATTATACACAGAAACTCTGTTTCAAAAAAAAAAAAAAAAAAACTTGTAAGAAAAACATGCATGGGTGTATAGCTAGAGCCTAACTGGATGGCAGGAAGCCTGTGGACACCTGACCGCCTGCTGTGCTCTAGACTTCACCATTGGTATTTCCATGAAAAATAGGACCCAGCTCTGTCATAGTCTGCTGCAGCTCTTCCTTTCTTTTCTGGCCTTTACTAAGATCCACTGACCATAAAGAAAATATTTCTCCTATATCTTCTCCATTACATATTCTGTACTACAAGTACGGGAATACATAGCTGTCCTTTCTCCCTCCCAGACCAACATCTCCACCGTTGTCTAAAACACCCACAGAACATATGCTCATGGCCTTAGCTTGGTCCTCAGAGGCTTGTTTCTGGTTTGGTCTTCCTTCTACTCCCAGGCCCAGCCAACAAGCTACTGATTCCAGTGTTCACATAAACAGTCTATCCAAACAGGACTCCATTGTTATACGCTTCAGCTTCCTTACATGAGCCAAATATTTTAGGAAAATTCCCTGGGGCTTACACTGCTGTTTTGGGGTTCATTTTTCTCTTAAAGATCTCCTCTATCTATCTATCTATCTATCTATCTATCTATCTATCTATCTATCT